AAACAGTTTTTTTCAGATTTTTCATTCTCTTATGTATTCTTTCTTGTTTTCTTGCTTTTTGACATTACAAAACCAACTAAGCAGAGAAAGGAAGAAAAGAAGACAAACATTACAAAACATCCATAAATAACAAGAACACGCCATCAAATTCGAAACACCATATTTTAGTTCAGTACTTTACGAAAGTCTTTTAAAAATGTGTGTTCTATTTGCAGAGGCCTTGTCTGCGAGTGACCCAACGTATTGCTATGTTTTAGATGTTTTCCTGCTGCTGTATTCTATCCTTTTTACTGCTCTCTACTTCAGAGAGAAGGTAAGTTGAGCCCTAGCATGCACCGTTTGTTCCAAGTGAAGAAATTGACCTCACGGTTTTAACCGCTAACCTGTGTTCTGCCTTGTATGGCTTAGTTTACAAGGGAAGGGCCTGTTCCTCCAGATCCTGCGTCACCGGGCCGTAACCCCAATGAGCCTGTCTATACAGTGAGTTCTCATTAATAAATATCTCCCAAACAGAGGTTCATGTTCAAGGTTCAAATATACTTCCTACTATGATAATACTATGTAATTCCTACTATGAAGTGCATTTTCATCTCCCTCCCCACAATTAAGTAAACATTGGTTGGAGTTTTAAACAGTTTCACTACTTTGGTTTGAACTTCATTTTGGTTTGTTGCCATATTTGTGATGTGCATGGTTGTAATGCACTTCGGAAAATAAAAACTGGCCATTTATGAAGTCCCTTCTTTTTTCCTTACTATAATCAAAAACGTTATATAGTAGTGCTATTATTTTCGCCACCTGAACAACTCAAATGGTCTTTTGGCAACCCTAGAACAGCTAAAATCTTTAAATAGGCCTTTCAAAAAAACAAACAAAAAAAAACACTAACATTGTTGTGATATATTTGTAATGTGTAAAGACATAATAAAGTGATAGCTAAATAGGCAGTGTTAATACGTTCTAGTTTACTATTGGTTGCATATGGTTACAACGCCATAGGCCTATCTGTTAACCGTACAAATATGTACCCTAACTCATTTTTAATCTAACATTTTATGGTTACTGAACAGGTTGAAAAAACTCTAATTAAATATTAATACGGGTTTAACCCTTAATTAAGCATATTTATTTTTAATCGTTACAAAATTCAAAAGTACTGCCCATGACCCAAATAATACTAAGGCAACGTGCGTGCTGTATTTTTTAGGACTTGGATCTGCCTCAGATGAGTTCCGATTATCAGCAACTGGATAGACCGGTGAGGTTATTTTATGTTTGAATTTATTGTAAATATATTTACATTAGCCACAAAGCCAGATAGAGCATAGCAGTACATTAACTGCACATTAATGGTATCTAGTGTGTTGTACACTTTACTTCCTGCCTTGCTCTCCAATCTTGTTTGTAATCAATGATACAATGATAAAGGTTAAATTGCAGTTCTGAAAGAAAAAAAAAAGGCACTTTTAGATGTCTACCAATATCTACATGTTTCAGATTAGAAGACGAGAGCCAGAGACACATTATCAGGTCAGTAACACTTGCTTGCAAAAAAGGATGTGAGTAACATAAAATGAACCAGATGTTTCTTACCTTGGTAAATTAGTGCGACATCTTTAATAGCTGCTGCCCTCCTGTGGTTGTTTACAGTTGAGCACTTACATTTAGTAATCGCTCTGCAATGGTGGTTGGTGTTATTTACTTTGGTTTGTGTATTTTCCAGGAACTGAGAGCACATACAAGTGATGAATACCAGGAAATAAAAACTAAGGGGAAAAAAGTAAGTGTATCAAGGCAACGAATATGAGAGGAGTGTGTGGGTTGTGGGGTTAGGAAGTGTTTTTGATGAGGTTTACCCAGTGGTGTGATGCATAATATACTTACTGTGCTCTGTTGGCAAATCAATATAAATATTAATTTTCTATTTCTGTCTGCAGCCTCGCAAAGGCAAGAGCAAATCTGATGAGGTAGTGTACCAATTCATTTTAAACACTTGGTTTGATATGTACCTCAGTGGCATTCATATATTTTTAAACATAAAAATACCTTTTTATGACCACCTGGTATATAACATTTATCTACAAATATGTTCATACAATCATCTTTTTAGCAAGTTACTATTCCCAAACGTATCCTCTTAATTGTCTTATAAGTGTTCTAGGTAATCACATGGTAGGTTTAGTTTTGTAAAAAGGAAAAAAAGTCAAAATTCATCAGTTCAAGTCATTTGTTTATTCCTTTAAAGGGTCGAACAGGGAGAAACAGGGATGCAGCTGAGGCTGTGGAGATGGAAACTTTTCCCACTGCAACATTACACAATTAGCACAAGCCCAGGAGCAACTTGTATCTGCCAACTAACAGACGAATTGTGTATCTTTGTTGGATGCATTTATATGTATTGTTTTTTGTATTTGTTACTTTGACTAACCTGTATTTTGTAGTCTTGCATACACTACCATTCAATGGTTTGGTGTCAGTAAGATTTTTTTAATTAATACTACTATTTAGCAAGGATGCATGAATTTGATCAAGTGTCAGTAAAGACGTGTTTATAATGTTAAAAACATCTTTTCAAATAAATGCTGTTCTTTTGAACTTTCTATTCAAAGAATCCAGAAAACAAATTACCATGGTTTTCATAAAAATATTAAGCAGCACAACTGCTTCCAACATCATAAAAAAAAAATTTTGAGCACCAAATCAACATGTTAGAATAAATTCTGAAGGATCATGTGACACTGAATTCTGGAGTAATGACTGTTGAAAATTCAGCTTTGCCATAACGACTAAACAATATTTTAATATATATTAAAATAGAAAAGTTATTTTAAAATTGTATCATTGTTGTTCAGTAGTATGGTTTTGATGTATTCTAATTAATTAAATGCATCTTTGGTGAGCATAAGAGACTTTTCAAAAACATAAAAAAATCTTGCAGACCCCACATTTTTGAACAGTAGTGCGTGCTATGCATGTATAGATGCATTTTTTAAATATATGATATTGAACGTTAATGCAAGGCAAGAACAGATCATTTTTGATCAATTTTATAAGACAATTTAAGTACAAAACCTCTGTCTGGAGAGGTAGTACGGTTATTTTCTACATAAAATTGCATATTTTGTGTGTACTACTGTAAAGTATAAGGTTAAAAATAAACAAATTAATATCAGCTCCATAAATTCATCAACATGATCCAAAATATGACAAATATTAAAAGACCAAAGACATGTTAGAATATTAAAACACTTGGAAAATGGTTTAATGATGTTTACAACAAAAGAGAACTGTACAGTTACAGTAAAAGATTATCTTTATATATATATAAAAAACAAACAAAATACAGCAGACAAATGCATCAAATCTAGCATGTATCCTGATTCACATACTTATATTCTACACAATCATTCAGTTCTAAGCTACAGTGATGTAGCCGTTTAGCGTTCAGTCTTGGGTGTATGTTCGCTTGATAACAGGCCAGGAATGGCACTAGACTTCAGGTCTGTAGTGATACTCAGAATCACACCAATCATCACTATTACAACAGTGAGCTACAGCGTTCTGAAGGGAGATCTAGAAGTACAATCTACAGTATGTGACCAGGTGAGAATGGAACACATTCCTTGAGCTTCAGCCGTAGGAAACATGGAAATGAGAGTATAGAGAGGGATTTCTTTTGAAATCAGTGACCAAAGTATTATGTACAGTCTTTTTTTATCTTAACCTTTTTATTGTTTGTTTTAAAAACAATAAGTTGGGCAGTGAAACTGATATCACATACACTGACATCCAAAAACATACAAAAATACTATTTCTTTCACCTACAGTAAGACAGTTTTGCAGTTAAATTCCATGCTGTTACAGAAAAAGAGCAACAGATCCAACGAACAAGAAAATTAAAAACGACAAACTTTTTTTCCCCCCATAAGCATCTCAGAAAAATACCAAAATATACATCTAAGCTTTGGAATTACTGAGGTTAGGACTACTGTCAGAGCTGGGTTCTGTTTCTTAATACACAAGCTGCAGGGTTTGGGAAGGAAGAGGAAAAAGAACAGAGTAATCTTTGGTATCTGCATTTGTAAAACATTACATATTTGGATATTTTTGCTTTGGGATAGAGCTTATAGTTGCTTTCGACTCTCCACTCGGCGTAAAAGTATTAAGATCCATCTCAAAAGGGCCGTGTTGCACAGACGCTGCCCTTGCAGGATGGAGGACAACGATGCATAGTTGCACAGCGGATCAAACCAATTGAAATCATGACAGTGGAAACAGCAAAGCTAGATAAAAGACATCGACAGAACATCAAAACCACGGGACGACGGCACCTAAAAGACGACTATGGAGAGACGTTGCATGTTTTCTGTAGACAATCATAGAAACAGTGTTGCCTTGCTGCAGTCACAGAGTGGAACTCCAGAGGACAGTTTATCCTGAGCAGGTTGCAGTGAGCCCAGGACATCCTTCAGCGTGTATTAAAAAACATCACCCAGCCCATGAGGGGTTACTTTAAGTCCTTTCCAGAAGCCGGCAGAGCCATTTCGCTTCCTCTTTCTACTAAACCCCACCCACTTGGCCACATGAGTGACCAATGATCTAAAACCACAAGCTAATGGTTGAGGCAGGGCACTAGAAGAGAGAGTTCAGTCCATACAATCACTTTGAAAGTCTTTGGTTACCACTGAGAAGGTGAGGAACAAGCAGACCGCAAACCCAAAAGAATGAATGGTCAAACCCTGCAACAAATAAGGGTTGGGGGTTCATAAAGACGACGATTGTCAAATCATAAAAAAAGCTTTGGTATAAAATTTATGAGGAGCTATGGTGTGAACTTAAATTTGTATCAAAAGCAAAATATAAATAAGTGGGATGGGTTTTTAATATGCATGAGCTTGTGTGGTCCTCTGGGTATCCATCCGGTTCCTCACTCCAAACTTTAAACAGACATCTGCAGGCTTCTGTTCTGGGACAGATCTTTTTTTTATTATTATTATTTCATCTTTTGAAGTAGATTAAAGCAAGTTTTGAGTTATAAATGAGGTATACAACAGCTCCTTTACTCAGACCAGCTCTCAGGTGCATGACCTCTTCTGTAACGATCCTATTTTGTCACTAGACTGACACTAGACAGCGGCAAACCCCGCTACAATCGAGAAACTATCCAATCACAAGTCAAAGCATCCACACACGCCAAAATCAAGTGCCAAAAAGGATCTGCAACAACTTCAAATGTACAAAGCTTCTGCCAGGTTCAACATCCTTTGATAAATCACATCCGAAACATCTCATGAGCACAGGTTCAAAAAGATATCATTTACAGCCAAGTGGTCAATTGCATCAAATGATGCATGATGCTTCCTTTTTTCTTATCAGTTTCCTGTATTTCCTACCAATGAGTCTCACTTTTAAGATATTATGTCAGACAGAACCTCTCTAAAGTATTATCATTTGAAGTAAATGCACCACTAGCGCCCCCTACATATCAGCTGGAGTTGAGTTATTAGTAAAGCTTTTAAAAGGTATCCAACCGGCTTGAGTTTTACCTACAAAATAGGTAGCAACACTTCCAAAATATCACAAAACACAAATAAAACTCACAGCGTTATTTTCATGGTTGATATGCACCATAAGAGTTTTGACATTGGCGCATGCTTGGTTGCATCCTCTTTCACATGCACGAACGCACACAAATTCACAACCGAAACAAAATCATCTCTCACGTCAACATATAATTTGCTACAATGTGTCAAACTCTGAAATAATAGTAAGGCATAAATGATAAATGCATGTTTTTGTTAAACTAAGAAAGCCAGTGATGTTGCTCCCTCATGATATACAAAAAAAGTAATTAAATTCAAATGATTGTTAAAATGCAACATGGCAAATGAAATTCATTAAAAGCAACAACAAAAAAAAAAAAATATTTAAGAATAGTAAGAATAGTTTGGTGCCATCAAGTCTGTTACATCAATGAAAGCTGGGGGCTTTGCTTCAGGAGCACCATCACAAGCCCCTCCCACTCAAACAAACCACATTTAAATGTGGGCAGGGCACACAACAGCCACTCCCACATCACAAGGGTGTGGTTGCTATTTTTGGTCTTGATTTTTTTCTTTTCTTTTTTTTTTTTTAGCATAGCTATAATATAAATGAAGTGATTTTTTTTTTCTTTTTCTTTTAGTGAATAAGCATGACAAAAACACTACATTCAAACTAGATATTAGTTCAAATATAAAATATGAGCATCTTACATAAGTGAATATATATAGAATTTAGAAAAGAAGTTCTCTAATCTTGGAGTAATTCCTCAGATAAATATATCAGTAACTCCCCACAGTCCTGGCGACCACCGGGTCATGACACTAATGCGCAAAACAACACACAAATCTACACGTCCAGAGAGGCTACGTTGAAATTTCCGGACAGAACCAGCGGATTGAGCAGCAACAAGACCCAGCCGCAAAGACAAAGGCTTTTTCTTTTTTTACTTTGGCAAGTAGGATAACAAAATATTCATTACAAGTTAACCTGGACATAACCTTTAAGTAGTAGTAGTAGTAGTACTTGAAATAGCAGTAGTAGACTTATGTGACATTATTATTACAGATTTTCCTGTTATACTTTTTAGTTTTGTTTTACATGTTGGTCATGTTAAAATGGACTGTAAGAAACAGCTTTTGTACATTCTGGAGTTGACTACTGGTGTCTTTTGCTTAAAGTGAACCTTCCATGTAAGTGCTGCTGAGGTATTTCAAATCATATTAACAATAAAATACAAATAGCATCGCTAACAAACAGTCGTAACAAAAATTGACAGACAGGGCCATAGTAACAAAAGACGAAAGGGACAATAAGGAGAGACTCTGACCTCTTTGTCACAGAATTTAAAATGTGAGAGTGTTAAAAGAAATGCTACGGACGAAACTGTACTGTAATTCTCCCAGAATGCCTGCCTGCATCATTCATTAAAAACAACAAGAAAAAGCAAATCTAGACAATGTGCCAATGCAATACTAAAAATATTGATATATGAAGCCATTTCAGAGCCATCTGCACTTCCACAGGTTCTTCTGGATTTAAATTAAGAGTTTGGTGGACTCTTGAAATTTCTATTGCTATTCATTCAATGAAACGCAGCATCGGTGTTGAGTCCTATGATATTACATCAAAAAACAAAGACTCACCAAGAAGGTGAGGAAACCATGAAATGAAGGACAGACTCCCAAAATCTCAACAGCACTTAAACACAAGGCCCTTAAGATTCTCTTTGGCTCGTTAAATGCTTGGATATCGAGAGCTAAAGCAAGTTAGAGCTGCGCTAGAGAAGCTATATTTCTTCATAAAGCTGAACACGATTTGTTGGACAATGCAAGTCAAAAGAGTAGGGTTTAAAAGATGTGTAATAGATGGTAAAGTTTGTCAGTAGTGAAAGTGTGGTCAGCATTGCACTGGCCCACACAGGCACAGCAGCTAGTGAGAAATCGACTTTGGTTCAAGCTTTACATCATGGCTGCATTACATTGGTAGGGAAAAACAAAACAGACCATCCAGCTAAAACCCCTATTTAAAGTTCTCTCACCCATTTATAACAGATATTCCAGGCCCACTACTGTCCTCCATGGTATAGCCTACACATTGGGCTGAAGGGACAAGGGGCTCTGTAAAATTCTGAGATGTCCCTGATTTCAGATTACGGAGGACTGAATCTGGCACCTTGTAACTACAAAGAAGGGAAAATGTTCAAAAAGCTTGTCAGGTAAGAACACACTTGCATTACTTTTATGTTTACAATTTTTAATTATCTGAACAGAATGGGAAGACAACTCTCCCATATGTCTCACTCAAAGTCCTCATCATTGATCAGCAGAAGGGACAATCCCAAACCTCAAACTGGTCCTATGCTGTAGCATCACGTCTTGCTCTCGCCTCAGATCTATTTGGTTAAATTCACTGACACTACAAAATTGAGGAGGGACGGCCATCTCAAAAAAAAAAAAAAAGAACTCTGTTTTCGTCTTTGGAAAAGATAAAAATATTGCATTATATTTCCTGTGGTCTACCGAGAGCCTTCGCTCATAAATATTTAGGCTTAAACTATGCTACAGTAGCAATATACAGCAACAGGTATAACAAAGATTTTTGGTATATCTTGAAATAGAGGCAATACAAAGACCTCCGAAATAAAGACCTCTTAAAGCGTGACAGAAGTTCTGCTAAAAACTGACCAGACTGCAGTTCTCAAATCCAGTTTTTTGGTACAGGTACTGTGCACAAGTAGAAAATCAACCACCTCAACTTTATCTTGCTTGACCTTCACCTTCACCATCAGGTGGTGATACCATAAGTACATCCCATGTTAGGAAGACCTTGAGGAGGTTTACCTTACGTGGTTACACTGTCCTGATGCTAACGTAAGACTTGCAAGCTCTCTCCTTGACGAATCATCTCATAATTCGTTAAAGCTTTTAGTATTAAGTGAGCCCATTAACTGGGTGAGGACTCAGACCCAGACTAGTCTTCTGCTACAGAGTAAACTACAAAATGATATGAAAACAGTATCTGAAAGTGTTTCACTAGAAAGAAAGAAAGGCCTGTCGAACGATTCATTAAAAGCAATGAAACCGCATCACAGCCGCTTATTACTCCATTTAAAGCCTTGTAACCACAAGTTAGTAAGATACTGGACATAAAGCTAACCCACTGTTTGACAAAAATAAGTCATGTACATCTAAAAGGAAACGTTCCAGGGAGCAGGAACGTCTGTAAAGCAGGATCTCCAGTGAAAAGAGATTAGATCATAGACAGAAGAATGAGGAGGTTACTGTCAGCAGTAAGTAGGTATCATTCAACACAGAGTAAACAAAGTTTTTTGGTTAAAAGCATTTCAGAAATACCTCTGAAGAAGAGGTCTGATGTGAAAATGGGAGAAAAGAGCGAGTTCACTGAAACAAATGTGTCTTTGAGTCACACAGAGACTTGGCACAATGTCCAGGGTTTTTGCTCTCCTGATGCAAGCTCTGTGGAGACGCCAACATTCTCTTAAGGTTGATTTGGTTGAAGTCAACCCATCAATGAGGTCCAAACATCACAGATTAAGTTGTAAAAGATATGTGAAAAGTTAGGACATACAATAACGTTAAAACAACGTGAAATCCTATGTAGTAGGTTTGTTTTTGGTGGTAGCAAGAGACTAAAGAAAAACTTAGAAAGAGGAAAGGGGTCTAGGAGAGGAGAGGAGTGGGTAAAGCTTTTACTGGGCCTTAGAGGCCGTGGTGATGGTGGAGGCAGGCATAGTTGCCGTGGTAACAGCGCTCTGGTGGGCATCGGCGGTGATGTGCAGGTTGAGGGCTCCGGTGGCACCTGCGGCCCCTCCTGCAGACACTAGGCTGACCGGGTTACTGGCAAGCAGTGACAAGTTCTGAGGGTTAAAAAAGAACGGTGCTGTCACAAGGTTCGGGGTACTGCCAGCGCTGGTGTTGGCAAACAGCAGGTTCCCGCTCCCATCCAGAGATGTAATGGGCAGAGTGCCACTAGATGCCAGAGCTAAAGAGACATAAAACAACATTTTAACTCCAGGTGTTCAAAATATTTAAACATAGAGCAGTGGTCTATACAAATCTAATTTATACTAATCATTGAAAATAAAATAATATAATAAATATTGTTAGAATTAAGAACAATTTTATTTGTTTTGTTTTTGTGTTTTATGTGTTTGTGTTCTTTTTATATTATTATTATTTAGGGCTGTATATATATATATATATATATATATATATATATATATATAAACACACAAGAAAATAATGTACACAGAAACTTATATTTTG